CAGCTACTCAGGAGGCTGAGGCAGGAGAATTGCCTGAACCCAGGAGGTGGAGGTTGCAGTGAGCCGAGATCGCGCCATTGCACTCCAGCCTGGGTAACAAGAGCGAAACTCCGTTTAAAAATAAATAAATAAAAAGTTTCAAGTTATTAGAAATCACTTTGTAAAAATAATTTTTTTAAAATTGTCTTTAGGATGTTTATAATTTCAATAAGATGATGAAGATAAAGAACAATATGGGTTTGGTTTTCTTATTTCCCCTTTATATGATTTGGCCTTTTGATCATGGAAGCTGGGTCTTTTTTCATGCTGGAACTGGGGAACAGAGTAGCTTAGGTGCTAACATCAAACAAAACAGAAGTGGAGAGTATTATTAAAGAACACTGAAAACAGCCTCCTATGGAACAGGATGGAGGGACAAAGGGGAAGCCCAGGTCTCTGTGAGGTCACTCTGGTCTACAGATCCTTTCTTTTGTAGGTTTTGGTGCCTGGGACCATATCTGCAACATGAGATACAGAGCTTTTCGGCGAATGCAGGTGCCCCTTTATCTTTTTCAATTTCGTTAAGATGTCTTGGTCAGTCTTGTGTTAAGATATCTGAGTGCACATTCTCCCAAGTGTTCTGTGAATGTAGGAGGAATCAGACAAGGTTCACATTCAGTCCGAGGAAGTGGGGAGAAGCATTCCCAGAAGAATTTTTGTATTATTTTATATTTTTCTGCCAGGGAGGCTGACAAATTGTGGTTTTTTGCTCGGTCACTTGGGAAGGCAATATTGTTTCTGACTGGAGTGATGTTTCCTTCTTGGTCTTAATGCAAACTCTCATTTTGTTTCCAGGTGTGGGATGCCTGCTCAGAGGCCCTGATAATGTTTGATAAGGATAATTTAGATGACATGGGCTATATCGTGGAGAATGATGTCATCATGCATGCTCTCACTAAGCAGCTGGAGGCTGTGTCTGGTGAGGCCCCCATCTTCCATCTTGCATTCATTGGGAAGTGAACTGCTTAGGACTTACTGGAAGAAAGGATCTCTTTTACAGATATTCAGTGTCCACCATAGAGAAATCCTCTGATGATTATTTCATGGTTGTTCTTTTTTTCCCCCTCGAGATGGAGTTTTGCTCTTGTTGCCCAGGCTGGAGTGCAGTGGCGCAATCAAGCGATTTTTTGTGTTAACCTCCCAAGTAGCTGGGATTACAGGCACCCACCGCCACGCCTGGCTAATTTTTGTATTTCTAGTAGAGACGGGGTTTCACCATGTTGGCCAGGCTGGTCTTGAACACCTGATCTCAAGTGATCTGCCCACCTCGGCCTCTCAAAGTGTTGGAATTACAGGTGTGAGCCACCGCACCCAGCCAGGATTGTTTTTTTTTTTAAAAAAAAACAGTTTTATTCAGTTATGCATGCCATAAAATTCACCCATTTTAAGTGTACAAATCAGTAACTTTTAGTGTATTTATAGAGTTCCACAACCATCACCTCAAAAAGAAACCCATTTATTCATTCTCCATTCCCACCCCTAGCCCCTGGCAACTACTAATCTGTTTTCTGTCTTTCTAGATTTTCTTATTCAGGACAATTCATATGATGGAGTCATATAACATGTATTCATCTGTGTCTGACTCCTCATTGAGCATAGTATTTTTGAGATTCATCCATGTAGCTTGTATCAGCTTGATTCCTTTTTGTTGTTGAATAGCGTTCTATTTTGTGGATATGCCAAATTTTGCTTACCCACTTACTATCGTCAGTGATAGACGTTTGGGCTGTTTCCACTTGGCAGTTGTAAATAATGCTGTGAATATTTGTGTACAAGTTTTTGTGTGGACATGTTTTCATTTCTCCTGGCTGGATACTTAGAAGTGGAATTGCTGGGTCATATAATAATTCTATGTTTAGCATTTTCAGAAGCTGCCAAACTTTTTTTCTAAAGAGGCTGTACAATTTCACTTTCCAACCAGTATATAAGGGTTCCAGTTTCTCCACATCCTCACCAACACTTGTTTTCCTTTTTTAGAAAAAAAATTGTAGCTGGCTGGGCGCAGTGGCTCACATCTGTAATCCCAACACTTTGGGAGCTGAGGCGGGTGGATCACCTGAGGTCAGGAGTTTGAGACCAGCCTGACCAACATAGAGAAACCCTATCTCTTCTGAAAATACAAAATTAGCTGGGCATAGTGGCGCATGCCTGTAATCCCAGCTAGTCGCGAGGCCGAAGCAGAATTGCTTGAACCCAGGAGGCAGAGGTTGCAGTGAGCCGACATAGCGCCATTGCACTCCAGCCTGGGTAACAAGAGCGAAACTCCATCTCAAAAAAAAAAGAAAAAAAATATTGTAGCCATCCTAGTGAGAGTGAAGTGATATCTCATGGTAGTTGTTGAATTTCCTTAATGACAAATGATGCTGAGTATCTTTTCATGTCCTTACTGGCCATTTGTGCACCCACTTTGGAGAAATGTCTGTTCAAAATCTTTGCCTGTTTTTAAATTGGATTATTTGTTGTTGACTTACAGTTCTTTACATATTCTGAATATAAATTTATCAGTTATGTGATTTGCAAATATCTTGGTGTTCTAGAGAGAGAAAAATTGGAAGCAACTTAAATGCTTTTTGATTTTGGATAGTAGTTCATGTAATGAACCGTGATGCAGCTTTTAAAGATAATTTGGATCTAAAATTTAATAACTTAGAAATTTATTCTGTAATATATTGGGTCATATGATCACACTTGCGTGTGTGTGCATGTACATGCATAGGAAAGCCATACACCAAAGCTGTAACTGCAGTTGTCTCTGACTAGTTTAAGGTCATTCCACCCCGCCCCCCTTAACCTTTGTCTTCCAAACTTTTACAGCTAGCTCACTATTATTATTTAAATTGCTTTGTTGAGGGGATGACTGACTGACATAGAAAAAGCTGTAAATGATGTATAGTCTGATGTTTTTGGAGAGTGTTTTGTTCTGTTTTGAGACAAGGTCTTGCTTTGTCCTCCCTGGCTGGGGTGCAGTGGCTCAAGCAATCCTCTCTCCTCAGCCTCCTGACGAACTGGCACTACAGGTACATGCCATCACGCCTGGCTGATTTTTTGTAGAGATGTTTCACCATGTTGCCCAGGCTGGTCTTGAACTCCTGGGCTCAAGTGATCCTTCTGCTTCAGCCTGCCTAATTGCTGGGATTACAAGAGTTAGCTACCCGTGCCTGGGTGCATACAGCATATTGATCTATATATGGTCATGTCCTTACTGGCCATTTGTGTATCCACTTTGGAGAAATGTCTGTTGAAAATCTTTTGCCTGTTTTTAAATTGGATTATTTCTCTTTTTGAGTTGTAGGAGTTCTTTATATACTCTTATATATATTCTAAATCCTCTGGTTTTAGATCTAAGCTATAGTTTAATTTTAGGCAAACCTTTTGGTCATAAGGACCAGTACCCATTCAAGCCAGCTCAAGTTGAGATGGTCTTGTCATAAAGAGGCTGTACAGTTTCACTTTCCCACCAGTATATAAGGATTCCAATTTCTCCACAACCTTGCCAACACTTATTTTCCTTTTTTTAAAAAAAAATTGGCTGGGTGCAGTGGCTTACGCCTGTAATCCCAGCACTTTGGGAGGCCAGGGCGGGCGGATCATGAGGTCAGGAGATCAAGACCTTTCTGGCCAACAGTGGTGAAACCCTGTCTCTACTAAAAATACAAAAATTAGCTGGGTATGGTGGTGCGTGCCTGTAGTCCCAGCTACTGGTGAGGCTGAGGCAGGAGAATTGCTTGAACCCGGAGGTGGAGGTTGCAGTAAGCCAAGATCGCGCCACTGCACTCCAGCCTGGTGCCAGAGCAAGACTCTGTCTCAAAAAAAAAAGAAAAAAAAAATTGTAGCCATCCTAGTGAGACTGAAGTGGTATCTCACAGTAGTTACAGTAGGCCTGGGGCCACAGAGCATATTGTTTTTATGACCAGAAAAATAAAATGATTTCCAGCTGGAAGAAAATCTTGTATAGGATTTGTTTCAGCCTACGGTGTTCCCAGCCTGTCTACTGTGAAAGCACACATGGGCTCATTTAGGTGTAGGGTAAAAATGGAGGTGCAGAAGCATGTGGACCGTAAGAAAGACTGCCTCTGACAGAGTTCATTGAGAACTTAAATGCCTTTTTTTTATTTTTTGACATTGAGCCATCTCTGTGGCTTGTCATTTATTATTATTATTAGCTCACAGACCACAGCATTAATTACTTTTGTTTTTTTTTTAATCTTAACTATCAAGACACTGCTGTCCTGGGACCTTGCTTTAGGTTTAGTCATAGCTTTTTCCTCAGCCTATGTAGCCCACCTTTCTAATTTTTTTTTTCTCTCTTTTGACCTCCCCAGACCGAGTGACGGTTCTCTACAGGAGCAAAGCCATTCGCTATACCTGGCCTTGTCCATTTCCTATGGCAGACTGCAGCCCTTGGGTTCATATTACCCTAGGTGATGGCAGCACCTTCCAGACCAAATTGTTGGTAGTTGATTCTTATTTTGCTAGGGGTCTTGTATATCTACATCTTATCCTAGATTCTAGGGCCTCTGGTTTTAGATCTAAGTTATAGTTTAATTTTAGGCAAAGCTTTTGGTTATAAAGACAGTACCCATTCAAGCCAACTCAGGTTGAGATGCTCTCGTCGTAAATCCTACGCAGGAAGCGATCTCATGGGCTGTCTTAGGTGGTGAAGTAACAGACAGCTGGGCCTTCCAGGGAAGGCACCAGAGTTTTGTGAATGGCAGCTGTTCTTTCCCTCTGAGGAGTCTGTGGTCATTGATCTCCTGCCTCTCATTTTTCTCCTTTCTGCTCACAACCTTCCGTTTTTACTTGGCAGCCATTCCTAACCCTACATCAGAACTATTCAGCTCTACTGCGTGCCCCATACTGAAACTTTCCTCATTGCTGTAGTTCAAATATCAGGAGAGCCTGGCTGAGTTAACCCCATAGCTGGTACCTTTTGAGTCATGTCCAGCTTTGGCTCTGTTGGCCAAGGCTGAGGTGGCAAAATGCAGGGGCTCCGCCTCTAGGGGCTGTGAGTGAAGCAGGCCTGATGGAAGTATCCTGCCACAGAGTGGCCTCACCAACAGTCAGAGCTAGAGGAAACTTTAGGGGGCAGAGAAAAACTTCTGAAGCAGTTTATGAAAAGGCTATAAGATTTAGCAGGTTTGTGTGTCCATGCAGATAGGTGCAGATGGTCACAACTCAGGAGTACGACAGGCTGCTGGAATCCAGAATGTGAGCTGGAACTATGACCAGTCTGCTGTTGTGGCTACTCTGCATTTATCAGAGGTAAGATCCTGAGCTGCCATCTGGGGACTCTTCATAGGCACTAGGTACTTCACAGAAAAACTCTTCTCCTCTCTGTTGCAGGCCACAGAAAACAACGTAGCCTGGCAGAGATTTCTTCCTTCTGGGCCCATTGCTCTGCTCCCGGTAAGAATCCTTCTGGCCAGTCCGCCCACATGCATGCAGCCTTTCCTCTTCACTTTCTCTCAGCCTTTTTCTGGTTTCAAGGTAATATTCCCAGGCTAGTTTTATGTTTCCTTCTTGTCTTTTTATGCTTGAGAGCTCCCAAGTGCAGAAGAGTCTTAGCCCTTGGTATTGGTGTTCTTTTGACACAGCTCTCAGACACCTTGAGTTCCTTGGTTTGGTCCACATCCCATGAACATGCAGCAGAGCTAGTTAGCATGGATGAGGAACAATTTGTGGATGCCGTTAACTCCGCCTTTGTGAGTATCAACTTATCCAGCTGATGTGTTGCAGGGGAAGATACAGAAAGGTGGGGTTTTTTTGGGACAGTCTTGCCAGGCTGGAGTGCAGTGGCTTGATCTTGGCCCACTACAACCTCCATCTCCAAGGGTCAAGTGATTCTCCTGCCTCAGCAGGAGACTACAGGGACTACAGGCATATGCCACCTCGCCCATCTAATTTTTGTATTTTTAGTACAGACGGGATTTCACCGTGTTGGCCAGGCTGGTCTCAAACTCCTGACCTCAAGTGATCTGCCCACCTTGGCCTGCCAAAGTGCTAGGATTACAGGCATGAGCCACTGCGCCCAGCCAGAAAAGTAGTTTTGAGTCAGGAAAAAGGAGTAAGCATTCATCGGTCCCTTCATAATGATAATGGTTGGTTTGGATTATGTGAAGGAGGGCATACAGGGAAATGTAAAACAATAGAAATAACATAACCTTTTGAGGGTCTGGGGCTGCTGTTAGGCTGACTAAAACAGTTGCCTGGGTGGTGGTTAGCATTGACCTTTTTTTGAAGCTGCAACACTTTGATCATTTTGAACAGTTCTGCTAGGTTCCAGTTACCTGAACCTTTATTTTTTGAGATGGAGTTTCACTTTTGTTGCCTAGGCTGGAGTGCAGTGGCACAATCTCAGCGCACTGCAACTTCTACCTCCTGGGTTCAAGCGATTCTCCTGCCTCAGACTCCCCAGTAGCTAGGATTATCGGCATGTACCACCATGCCCAGCAAATTTTGTATTTTTAGTAGAGACGGGGTTTCTCCATGTTGGTCAGGCTGTCTCGAACTCCCAGCCTCAGGTGATCTGCCCACTTTGGCTTCCTAAAGTTCTGGGATTACAGGCGTGAGCCACTGCACCTGGCCTACCTAAACCTTTAAATCCTGATTCATTGGAAGTATTCCTAGGGAAAGGCTCAGCGAATTTCAGCATGGTGCTTAAAAAGTAAGCTTAGTAGACAGATCTGGGTTCAATACTGGTTCGACCTGCTAATTTCCTGAAAAATGGAAATAGTGTCACCAACTTCTCTACAATGTACTAAAGATATTCCATGTATTTTTTAAAAGTTTTCTCATTTTGAATAAAGACTTTCGAAATGAGAGAACTTTTTAAAAATACATGGAGTATCTTTAGTACATAGTAGGTGCTCAACAAATACTAATTATTCTGGAGTAGACACAGCCTTCAGATAATATGGGCACCAGTATTATTTTTGGAACCTAAATGACACTTAAGGCCTGCTACCTTCATAACAAAGAACCGAGACTCCACTGCTCTGTAGTAGCAAGAAGAATAAAAGGAACTGAACATACTTAAGTGATTCCAAGATAAATAGTGAACAGTATCCACCCTGAGTATCACTACTTAGAGGTCTAGGACCTCTGCAGTGCAGTCATTCACCATTAATTGTGCTTTCTATGTAGCAGGCTCTGGAGATACTGAGAATGGTCTCTGCTTTCAGGAAGTTCCTAGTCAAGTGAGGAAGACCATAAATGACAATGTCAGTAGTGATAGAAGTATGTATAGGATGCTGTGGAAGCATACAGGAGGAAACGGAAAAGTTGGAGGAGTTACAAAAAGAGGTGGCATCTTCTGGATGCTCTGAGATGTTATCCTAATGAAATACAGAGATGGGCATTCTAAGCAGAGGAGAGTCATGTAGGTAGAAGGATATTTTATGATGAGCTACACTGTGGCCGGTGCGTGGTTGAGGGTGGGGACTAGTGAAAGGTGAAGCTCAGAGGTAGGCAAGGACCAGCTCATGTGCAGTTTAGCTTGATCCTAAAACCTGTGGGGAGCGATGGGAAGTTGAGCTTTGCACTTGAGGGGCTTATCACTTGTGATCAAGATCAGTGTAGGCAAGTTAGGTAGCATTATCCTAAGCTTTGGTTACAAACAAGGTTTCTTTGTTGAATTTTTAATTCCCTGCTACTCAAATTTCATCTTGTCTTGTGGCTGATGCTGCTCAGTGGAGTGATGCTGACCACACGGACTTCATCGACACAGCTGGCGCTATGCTGCAATACGCTGTTGGCCTTCTGAAGCCCACTAAGGTCTCGGCTCGCCAGCTGCCCCCAAGCGTAGCAAGGGTGGATGCCAAAAGCCGAGTTCTGTTTCCTCTTGGGTTGGGACATGCTGCTGAGTACGTCAGGCCTCGGGTGGCACTCATTGGGTAAGATGATTAACAGAGCAGGGCCACTCACCTCTCACTTTGCTGCTAGAGATTTCACCTGAACTCTGCTTTATTCTTAGGGATGCAGCCCACAGAGTCCATCCGCTTGCAGGACAAGGTGTCAACATGGGCTTTGGGGATATCTCCAGCTTGGCCCATCACCTCAGTACAGCAGCCTTCAATGGGAAGGACTTAGGTAAGGATTCAGGTACTATGGAGAAGTATCCAGAGGTCATATAGTTAGGCAAGATCAGGGCCCCAAAATGGCCCACAGTAGCAAGAGGGAGTGGACATAAAATATATCTGACTTGCTAGAAGAGGAAAGGAAACATTAATAGATTAGAAATTTAACCTTTCCTCTGTCCTCCAGGCTCCATGAGCCACCTCACAGGTTATGAAACAGACAGACAGCGTCACAACACTGCTCTTCTGGCTGCTACAGACTTATTAAAAAGGCTCTATTCCACCAGTGCTGCCCCGCTTGTGTTGCTCAGGACGTGGGGCTTGCAGGCCACAAATGCAGCGTCTCCACTCAAGGTAAGAGGTTGCTCACAGAGGAATGACTTTGCAAACAGCTCTTAACTTCTTTGAATTAATTTTGTTGGCTGTACAATTACCTTTATGTATCTACCTTCCCAAGGGTTATAAGCAAAAAAGTACTTGCTAGGCTTTTAGGTGTTACGGCCTACATCTAAGCAATAACTTTACCTATAAGGACTTTATTAGGGGGTGTGGTGGCGCATGCCTGTAGTCCTAGCTATTGAGGAGACTGAGATGAGAGGATCACTTAAGTCCAGGTGTTTGAGACTGTAGCGAGTTATGATCACATCACTGTACTTTGGTCCTGCTCTGTCACCCAGCCTGTCACTTGAAAAAAATAATGAATAGGGTTTTCTAATGATGAAGATGTTTCAGTTCCTTTTGCTGCTTGGCTGGTTTCGTCCCTGAGAACTTCCATTTAAAGATATATTTTTTTTCTGCTGGGTGCAGTGGCTCACACCTGTAATCCCAGCACTTTAGGAACCTGGGGAGGGAGGACTGCTTGAGCCCAGGAGTTTGAGGCTGCAGTGAGCTATGATCACACCACTGCACTCCAGCCCAGTCAACACAGTGAGATCTTGTCTCCAAAATGTATATGTGTATATTCATATATATGTATATATTTTCTTAGCTGAAATAAAATGGACTCTTGGGAAGGATATCTACATGGTTTTTTGCTAAGTTTTTGCTTTAATCACCTTAGATACTTTAAAGTTATTTTCTTCACCTTACAATGTTAAGAGTTTCACTCACTCTTTTCTCCAGGAACAGATTATGGCCTTCGCAAGCAAATGAGTACTCCTCTTCTAAAGATTATGTTGATGAAAAAGAACATCCTGCCACAAGACCATCATACATATTTTCAAGATCTAATTTAATAAATTTACTTTACATTAGAATTCTTTTTCTTCTTTATTTAATGGGCCTGTGGCACCCAAATAATGACAGTTTGCTGTGAGGAGAGTATATTAGCCAGACCAAAGGTAAAAACTTCGAAGGAAGACTCTTACAATTTGGTTGAAAAGAGCTTTTTATTACTAAAACAACCCATCAGGTGCTGTCTCACTCATTTCTAATTGTTAACAATCATTTCTAAAGAGAATATATATATATATATATATATATATATATATTTATTTATTTAGTGCTGGTCATAGATTTATAGTTGTTTTTTGATAGAGGTAAGAATTAGAAATACTCAGTTGATACATTTTTGTTAGAACTGCTGTTTAAAAATTAACATCAGAATGCAAATTAAATATAAATTGCTTTAACCTTTGTTACAGGTACATTGGACTTGCTGAAAAGAAAACCAGATCTTATTAATGCTAGTTATTACTTTATCACAGCACCAGATTTCCATTTTATGGTTCCTCTCTGGGACACCATTGTCTGTTTAATAAAATAAATAATTCATTGCACAGATCCAAAAACCTCAGGAACCAGATCACAAAGGAAACTGATTAGCAGCAGAATTTGTTCTTGTTTGGTGGCAGACTGGTGGCCAGCTGGAGGGAGGGGAGTTTTACAGTGGGTTTTTGAAGAGGTCTCTTCACAAGACCAGAGATGCCTCTTTAAGAGATTTTTAGGTCGTGGATTTGCTTACTGTAAAGAACAGCTTGCCCAGAAGTCTGATTTGAAGATGAAATGAGGAGAAACAGTCTGCTTTTGAACCAAGTAAGGGATTCTTGGGAATAATTTTTAAAGCCATGAGAAATCTGGTCCTACAGGGGCACTTTTCAGGCAAATGCAGAAGATTTAAAAGATTCTACCACACAAAAGTGACAATGTCATAATCTTCCTGGAATCTCAGGAAAAAGACTTAAAGATGGCAGCTGCTGTGAAAAGCTACGTGACTGCTGGTGGAGGCTTTGGGGACAAGGTCATCTTTCACAAAAAATGGAAAGGTGGCCTAGGTGAGGAGGACACAGACTCTCCAGAAATATGCAAACAAAATTGGGCAAGATGAAGAATTTTAAGGCACACCTCCATTGACCCACAAGGATGTTCTTCATATTACAGTGTTGTTAAACACAACATCTGTCATGTGCCAGGCCATGTCCTAAGTATTTTAAATATATTAACACATTTGCAAAAAGGAAACTATTAGAATCTGTAGGACCCCTTAACAAAAAGCCCAAGGGATCTACTGCAGGCAGGATGGGCCTTACAGAAAAAAAATTTTTTTTTTTTTTTTTTAAATTCTCATTCCAAACTGTTTGTATGATGGACAAATTGGCTAATTCTCCAGAAGGTCTAATCAAAATTAACAAAATAGATACAGATAAGTTTCTGGAGTTAGAATATGCATCTACCCTAGAGTTCGAAGGTATACAGGATGATCAAAGGAGTCTGTTGGACAGTATGTATGCTTTACAAAATGGCCCCTGCTGTGATTAAAGACCAGAGATTTCTACATCTCTGCATTTGTCAAGCTGGAAGAGTCTTTAATGAACACAGATTACCTCTATTTAAAAAAAAAAAAAAAAAAGAGATGGGGTTTCACCATTTTGGCCAGGCTGGTCTTGAACTCCTGACCTCGTGATCCACCCATCTCGGCCTCCCAGAGTGCTAGGATTACAGGCATGAGCCACCGCACCAAGCCCACAGATTACCTCTTGTAAAACTACTGGTTTCTACTGGAGGAAACATGGATGACATTTAGTATTCTGTGACTGGTCTGGCACCCTACTTTTTTTTGACAAAGATGGAAAGCGGTCTAAAAGTCATGTCACTCATAAAAAACTTGGGAGGAGGCCGGGCGCAGTGGCTCAAGCCTGTAATCCCAGCACTTTGGGAGGCCGAGGCGGGTGGATCACGAGGTCAAGAGATCGAGACCATCCTGGTCAACATGGTGAAACCCTGTCTCTACCAAAAATACAAAAAATTAGCTGGGCATGGTGGTGCATGCCTGTAATCCCAGCTACTCAGGAGGCTGAGGCAGGAGAATTGCCTGAACCCAGGAGGCGGAGGTTGCGGTGAGCCGAGATCGCGCCATTGCACTCCAGCCTGGGTAACATGAGTGAAACTCCGTCTCAAAAAAAAAAAAAAACTTGGGAGGAGCTTTTTTCCAAAATACTGAAAGATTTTGGAAGGAGAGACTAGAGCCAGAACTAAGACCACATAGAAGATAGGTAGCTTTCAGCTCAAGATAAGCAATTTTTTAACATCAGTGTGGTCCCAAGTGGAATAAGCTGTTTGAACATGCCTCAGCCGAAGCTGAATGACAACCTGTTAGAAATTCTAGGGAATTCTGCATTGAATACAACATTGGCTTATTTCTTTGGGCTGTTTCCAACTCAAGATTCTGTTATTTCATTATAGGAATTTTTTGAGGAAGGCAGTTGGTATAAAGGTGACCTTAGTAATAAAAGTCAGTGTGAGAAGTCTGAAGATAATTCCACAAAGTAAAGACAACAAGAATTTCAGGGACAGGGATACAGAAATTTGCCTTGTTCCTTGCACATACCAGATGGTAACTATTGACTCAATGGAGTAATGTTAAAAAATAAGGCTCTCCATGGACTGTGTGAGGGCCAGGCATATTTAACATCCTTTGTGTGAGAGAGGATGGAAAGGGAGTCTACTGTGAAAGCCACAAGTTTGGGGAAATAAAAACACTCCTGGAAAGAAGCTAGAGGTTAAGAGCCAAGGCAAAGGGGCCAGACCACAGGGAGATCTTCTAGGTCCAAGAGCATTACAGGGCAGATGAGAAGGGATGATAATGTCAAAAGTGCAAGATAAGGCCGGGCATGGTGTCTCATGCCTATAATCCCAGTACTTTGGGAGGCTGAGGCAGGCAGATCACTTGAGGTCAGGAGTTCGAAACCAGCCTGCCCAACATGATGGAAACCCTGTCTCTACTAAAAATACAAAAACTAGCCAGGAATGGTGGTGGGCACCTGTAATCTCAGCTACTCAGGAGGTTGAGACATGAGAATCACTTGAACTCGGGAGGTGGAGGTTGCAGTGAGCCAAGATTGCACCACTGCACTCTAGCCTGGGTGACAGAGTGAGACTCCGTCTCAAAAAAAAAAAAAAAAAATG